TTTTATGAATTTCATAGACAAATATTCTCCAAGCTGCTTCACATGGAGAAATATATCTGCAATCATAATACATTTTGATTTCATCAACTATTTGATCCTTATCGCTTGCAGAACTTTAATATAGTGATGCGGTGACACGATCATGCCCTTTGTTTATGTATTTAAATAAGTACTTGATGGATCTCGGCTGATTGCACCATTCAATATTAACATGTGCCTGGTACTTAATGAGAAGTTTAGAATTGTATGGAACAACAAAACGATTATCAAGTTTGACATAATTCTTTTCGATAATCTTGCTATCATCCCTTCTTCTATATATTAGATAACCATTATTATCAATAGTGGCTCTCTGGACAAACTTCCTTGGGAAGTGATTAGAGCATTTGCCATCCTTCATGCATGGAGAATGTATATTGGATTGGCCACATGGACCATGAATCATATAATTTTTTACGCACTCATACAATTCAGGATTTTGCTTTTTATCCAAAATTTCAGCGCAATAATCTTATCTATGTCATCAGCAGTAGGATACTTGTCTTATGGAACCAAGAATAGTAGAATATAAGCATGCGGTAAACCTCTTTTTTGAAATTCAACTGTATATGCAACTGCGACATGAAATTTTAAATTCATTAACAAAAGGATCTAAAACCAATCCAGTACAAAAGTACAAAAAGAGAAGAAATTTTGATTTCATTAATTAACAAATTAATAAATAAAACTAAAATTAATTCAATGTAAAAGCACAAAATGATAACTTAAGTAATACTATATAAGGACATCTAATTTATATATATTATTTAAAGGCACATAATATAGTCTTTACATATTAGGTATTCTTAAAATTGAATTTAAAAAATTAAATATCATGACACACATGACAGAGAATGTATATTAGTCAATTTCATCCAATTTTGTTGTAAATAGATATAATAGTAAGCAATTCACTTTTAAAAAATAGCTTATGTATGATGCTTTATGGGGAAAGAATAACAAACAAAATATACATTAAAAAGAGATATGTTCTCATACCAGCTTTGACAGAACCAAACAATTTGTGATGCTTCAGATCTCGAATAAGTTGGTCAAGTTTTAGTTTGAAGACTCTACAAATAATGTCCGGTCTATCCTCTGGATTGCAACCATAGTTCTAAACTAATTTTACAATCTCTGGCCATTTTGGATTGCATGTGAAAGTGATGAACAAATCCGAATATCTAGCCCACTTGCAAATAGCCATAGCATCTTAATAATTTTGTATCATGTATCGTGCACCTCCAGTGAAAGAGGATGGTAAGATAATGCACTTCCCCTGAGAAGCCGGAATAGTTTTACCTCTTAAAACAGCTTCAGTAAGACCTTTGTATAAGTCAGCTCTAAGCTCCTTTTGATGATTCCTAATGTATGACAATCTTCCACTCTCAATCATGGTATAAGCATCTACTATAAACTGCTGCAATAATCTCCTTGATAGTAATATCGTAGGTGCTTCGTTATCTCTATTTTGAAGTTTAAATGCAAAAAATTCTCTCATTGTAAGCTTTTTTTATTCGAGATGCATTATTTGAATCTCTATGCAAAGTATTCTCTCGATAACCATCTTCCCCGTAGGGAAACAAAAAAGGATACTGCATCGGTAAGTAAGATGGGTGCAGCTCATTGATTCTTTTAAGCTCACCACTTTGTGACTCTACTATTATATCTCTATCGACATTGAAGCTATCAACATCTCCTACGATAAGAGCAACAACCTCAGAAGTTATAGGAAGATTATAAGTCATGCCATCATTATGTTTTTTACGGATCAACCTTAGGCTTACATTTGCGGATTCCTCGTTATCAAACCTCTCTTTAGCCATTCTAAAAGATTTTGTAAATGGATTATATTCATCAAACATCTCTTTTAAACTTTGAGCAATGGTAGAATCTAACCCTCTAGAATGATCAGAAGAACTGCAAAAAATGTTTCATGCATAACAATTAGTTTAAGTATTTATAAATACAGAAATAGCAGAGAAAAATACGATAATTTAAAATAAATTTATACATCGGTAAGTAAGATGGGTGCGGCTCATTGATTCTTTTAAGCTCATCACTTTGTGACTCTACTATTATATCTCTATTGACATTGAAGCTATCAACATCTCCTACGATAAGAGCAGCAACCTCAGAAGTTATAGAAAGATTATAAGTCCTGCCATCATTATGTCTTTTACGGATCAACCTTAGGCTTATATTTGCGGATTCCTCGTTATCAAACCTCTCTTTAGCCATTCTAAAAGATTTTGCAAATGGATTATATTCATCAAACATCTCTTTCAAACTTTGAGCAATGGTAGAATCTAACCCTCTAGAATGATCAGAAGAACTGCAAAAAATGTTTCATGCATAACAATTAGTTTAAGTATTTATAACATATAGCTACAACCAATGGATTTTTATGTTAAGATTAACTATGTAAAAACTTATAATCTTATCTTTTAAACAGACATTGTAATTAAGACAAAAAACTAAATAATAATTTTGGCCATGTTATGAATTATGATTTAACGTCCAGGTTTTTTTTTTCAAACATGCCCATTTCATTATCACCAAATTCTCACATTTCATTATCACCAACAGTTGAGTTATGGAAGGTTATAAACATTGTCAGTTTTAAAAGATTCATAATTAGTCCAAAATCTCATAAAAGATATATTCTCATATCACGCTGTTTGTTGTGTGCATTACTATTGAAGGAAGACAATTGACAAGCCACTCCACATATCAGAAGATTGATTTTCATTATCTTCATAGCAGTTTGGTCTTCTACAACTTCAAGCATGAAAAAGAAAACAATTACAAATGCATGTTACAAAATAAAATTTTAACGCTTATACAGAGAGGACTTTCTTCATGTAACTTGCATGACTAAAATTTCAATAACAAAAAGAAAGGGATTACATAGAGAATGAAAAAACATAAGTCATAATTCCACGTTAAGTGTTATCAATCTATATCTATGTGCAACTGCAAGCAGTCAACTACGACCTTACCGTAAGTTTGCATAGAGAATAGGATAGGGGAAGGTAAAGATTGAACTAAACCCAATGGGAGGGGAAGAAGAGGACTTGAGTGTCTTGATGGAACTAATTATGTTTGGACTTGGCCTTTTGAAATCCTCATAGATTTCACTATGCGCATCAACCTGGCTTTCAAATGTCAAACACGACTCATATGCTGAAAGTTTCAAAGGCATGCTAAAGATAAATGTCTAAGAAATTGCACATACTAACGTAAGTGATCATATTCATCCACTGTCACCTTAGTTTAGAGAATGTAACACATAACAAATCAAAGCAATTATAGGATCTTTCCCTCAAACTAATAAGATATTCCCACCTAAAAGCAAATATTACTCCTGCATATCAACAACATGTTTAAATATTGGTTCTCTTTTTCACCTTTCTTTCATGGAATGTTCGATCAATTTGATCTTATCAGCAGTGATGAAAAAGTATGTTTTGTTTTTTTGCTTTCACCCATCCTAGCTCTCCATTAAAGTTACAAACCAAGACAGAATAACACCCCAAGATCTTCATCAATTTGAAGAGGCATAAAAAACAGATTGTCCTTCTTATACCTCCCATTGGTAGCCAAACTTGCTCCCTTCAAGGAAGCCTAGAAAACGCAATGCTCTTCATAGTGTTTCTTATCCCCCCCCCCCCCCAAAAAAAAAAAAATAATCAACTCAGTTAATGTTATGAATTATGCTTTAACGTCCAAGTTTTTTTTTCAAACATGCCCATTTGCGTGTTTATTTCAATCAATGTACTAAAAAACTTTAATGTACACCCGAAATGTAGCCTACAACTTATAGAAACTTTGAACAACATGAAAAAAAAACTTGCACAATAAATATGTCAGTCTTACATGCAGCAACACCAGAAGATCATCAGAAACAAAGAGATAATGATCAAAACGAAGAAGAAACCAAAATAACAACGTAGAAGAATTTGCATCATAAAAAAAGAAAAAAAGAGGAAACATATTTGCATAGAATATAAATTTAAAAATAAACTCAAGAATAATACCTACTCGATGATAGCAAAATAGTGGGAATTAGCTTGCATGATAAAGGTTAATAACAGTGAGTCCCAATTGAAACGAAGAGTCAAGTACTACTTTATGGATCACTTTCAGTGAAGAGTAAATTTAAAATAGAGCCTACAGTTCAGAAGAATTCCTTTAGACTTTATGGATCACTTTCAGTGAATTAGTTTCAGTGAATCAAATTTCACAATATATGGTAAAAATTTCGATGAAAGTAAATTTCACAACATTGGTAAATTTTTTTGAGGGTTTCAGTAAACCGACCTGTCGACCTCCAATGACGCCGACGACCTTCGCCTCCAGTGACGCCGACAACTTTCTGTAGCGTAGGGACCAGTCTTCGCCAGGGATTTTGCCGATAGTTTTCTTTGGAAATAAGGGATGTGGGGATGAAACTCTGAGGCTTTCTATATATGCGTATCATCCTTCGGCGACGCTTGGGTTCTCGAGGCCTAGCACGACAAGTTGACAGAGACGAACAGACGATTTGGGGAGTTGAAGGTGATTTCTAAGATCCAAGGAAACGAAGATGCGATCTTGGGAAATGAAGAATGGGGAAAGAAGGGCTATGGGTGAAAGGAGATCTTGGGAATCTGAAGCGGTAAAACGAAAGCTAAGAACGAAGATGCAACAGAGCTTTGGAATCTGAAGCGGCGGAGCTAAGAACGAAGCGGTAGAAGAAGATAGGAATAGATATTTTTGCCTGGTTGCGTTTTCAATGGTATGTGTCATGTTTGCCGAGTGACATTTTTAAAGATAAGAGTTTTTAAGTAATAGGAAATACATTTTACGTTTCCCATACTTGGGTATAACTCAGAGTTTTGCTAGAAGAAATATATGAGACTATTCTGCCAAATAACATATTCAAAAGGCGGTTGAGCTACAAACCGCTGAACATCAATAGTCCTTTGCAGCTGTTAAGAATCAACTGCCAGCTTGTCTCCTCTCAATCCCCAAAATATAAATGAACGTACGATTTAAAACAGTCGTCTCTCATTTTCCTCTTCTAATTTTGTCCTTTCGAGCTCCCTTGTTCTCTCTCTGAGCGTTCAATGCTTCGATCTCATCGAGACACCCAAACCCTAGATTAAAAATTCCACCTTTCCCCTCTCTCGCTATCGTCAAACCCTAACAATGCCTCCGATCCAACTCAAGAACGGTCCGACCTCGGCCCAAACCCTAGCTCAGGAGGCCAGGACCCACGTTCGAGAGGCCATGAGGACGACCCTCGCCTCATCGTCGCCTCCTTCTCAGGCGGCGGATCAGATCCACGCGACGACGGAGGTTAAGTTTGGGCCCAAGATGCAGGAGTTCGCAGCGGTGGAATCGATGAATTCTAGGGTTTTGTGTTGCGAGGAGATCGATGGGAGGCGATGGAACTATGTGGTGGAAATGGAGGGTTCGAGAAGTATAAAGAAGGGGGCTTCGGTTAGGGTTGTGTCGTTGCAGAGCCCCATGACTCCCGCTGATGTGAGTTTCTTTTTCTTTTTTCTTTTTTTTAATGCTTTGGTTTTGGTTGGATTCTGGTCATAGATGTGATGAATTTTAGATGAGATGGTTAGAAATTGGAAAGCTGAATTCTTTCTGTGTGGAATGTGGTTAGTAATTGTTTGTCTTTTTTGATTAATTTGAGTCATTTATCATGATTGGAGAAAGGAGCTGCTGGCTTAGAATTAGGAGGAAAAGTGACATTTTTTCCGGGACTTATGATCTTAAGTATAATTAGATTTGGGGGGAAACAGAAAAAAAGAAAAGGGAGGGGTAATTGCAAGTAATGAAATCATGATTAACATTGAAATTTTCTTTGTATGGGTATTTGGAGCAGTAACAGATTTTTTACAAGTTCATTTCTGTATCGTGACTTGTAATGTTGAAAGGAAAAGAAAGCTTAATTGACGGAAATTTAAGTGTATATTTTGTCAATTGCGTGCTCCGTCCAGGAAAACCCTTTCCACTAACCTTTGTTAGTGAACTGTATTGGATTTTGTTTCTTTACTTTTATTTCCTTTTCTTCTTAAAGCTGCTACAATGAATATACGTTCATAAGTTTTTGCTACAGTGGCAGTATGAATATAAAAAAGATATCTCCTTATAGGACTGACAAATCATGGCGTGAAGAAAATTTCTAGTATTCAGTAATTTTCCATGTTATAATGAAAATTGCAACATTTCACATAGATTTGTGTAGGAGCAATGTGTGGGAACTTAAGGATGTTCTGCTATTTTCTAATCGTTGAAATTCCTGGTACTTACATCTTCAAGTTGTCACTTTACGTTATGGTGCAGGAGTTGATGACTTTCATAAGATCCTATGTTGTTCCAGAAGGTTTTCCAGATAGTGTTACTCCTTCGTATGTGCCATACATGACATGGAGGGCTTTGAAGGTACTTATAAGACATGCAGATTTAATGTCTTTTACATGTTAAATACCAATCTTCTGGTTATGTACGCACCCTGAAGCATTTGTCATTACTTTCAAGTTGTTGGCGGTTTGAGGTATCTAGAGGTATCTAATACCTTTATGATGTTTATTATTAACTTCCAGCATTTCTTTGGGGGAGCAATGGGTGTTTTTACTACACGGGCGCTGTTGAGTTCTGTTGGAGTATCAAAAAATAGAGCTACACCAGGTGCTGTTGCCATTAATTGGATTCTCAAGGTAAGCAACAATTCTCATAAACTGGCAGCACAAGCGCTAGTGGCCATGTTCTATGCATTTTTTCCTAGCAGGAACCTTCTATAGTTAATAGCTAGTACCATTTGTTATTCTTTGATCTTTTTAGGTATAATTGTTGTTACCGAGATCAATAGCTAAGATGCTACTATCCTACTTCAAGTTTTATTAAAAAGAATTACATTTGTTTGTCAGATAAGCAAAATTTCCTTCTAAACGTGTACCTTGATTCTTAAATCATTAGAGAAGTTGATTCCTTATCCACCATTGGGAGCAAACAGTTTCTTGTTTAGCAGATCTACTGTAGTGCATTCATTTATTGGTTTCCGCACCATTTCCTGCTTGTCACATGAACTAAAATCATAGAACTGATAAAAGAGTTTTCCTGCTAGCAGGTGTTGCCTTCTTATATTCTCTCTTTTGAAATTTCAACCTGTCTAATCTTCCTGATATCACTCACTTACCTTCTCCGTTGTTCCTCTTTCAAGTCACAACAAGGAACTCTGATCTGGCTAACCTATTTGTTGTTGCAATTAAGGTTGTTGATTGCTTGGCTATTATGACAATTTTTGGAGAGTTCTTTGACATTGGTTTCACTGTTTGCCAAGATATATTCCCTTTTCTCTACAAAATATCTTTTCATGACTAGAACCTGAAATCTGTCTATGTTATCAGTGAAGGATCAAATTAAGAGTACTGTAACATTGTAACCAATTGAAATTCTGAATCTTTAGTTGACATGATCCTGAAAGTTGTGAATAGAAACTTTGTGCTTCTTGGTTTATTTGCATATATTTTATTCATATTTGTTTGTGGAATAATTATACTGTGTAAGTTGACTTGCTAGATATACTGGATTTTGTTTTGCATTTATTTTATGCGTTGTGATTGTACTTTCTCTTTGGAAAATGTGTTGTCCTATTGAACTGAAAGTTGGGTTTTCAATATAATATAGTTCATTTACATTACTTGTTCCTTATTTAACACGCTAAAACTGACATTAGGCTTGACATCAGATCCTATATATTTCTGTAGAGGTTGGTGTTTTCTAGTTTCTTTAAAATTTCATTTCTTGATTATTTATTTTAGCAACTTGCTATCTTGATTTGAAATTTCCAAGAATATCGTTTGGATTAGATCTTGCATCCTCTATCCTTGGTTTGGATCCTAGTTTGGTAGATGGATCTGGGTAGATTATTTTTATCATTGTAGACCAATTTTTTAGAAATTATTGGGTGCTTCTAAGTGTCAGACCTGCACCAGAACGGGTGCCCAATGCCTAGGTGCTTAGGCGGGCAGCTAAATGCCGGCTAAGCATTCTTTGTTTTCTCTTTGAAATTTCTACTAAGTATAAAGCTCATTAAAAGTATAGAAAATTTAGAAAAAGTAAGTCAAGAGAGCGGAAAAGAGAGAAAAAGAGAAAGATGAAAAAAAGGAAGAGGAAAGAAAGAGAAAGAGGAAGAAGAAACTCATAAAAAAATGAACAAACGGCATGCTAAATGGTGATAAGTCTTTGAGGGGTACACATTTCACAGTTTCATCTAACGCGTAAGGCAGGATCCATTAATAGTTTGACTAGCCTATAATGGGCAGGATCTATGATTTATTTCCCAGCATCCTTAGGGATCAAAATATGTACCTTCTCTTGAAGTTGTGCTTGTACTTTGAGATACACTCTTTGTGGAGCTGAGAGCGCTTATAAGTCCACTTGGCTTAATTTCATTTTCAGGTATTTAATGGGATTATTTTGCCTTATCAAGCAACATCTAGATAGGAAAACCACTTGATGGATGAGGTTTGGCACTAGATTTTTGCAAAAGTGAAAACAAGGATTTTAAATAGAAATCTAGGTAGTACTGAATTATCCAGATATAAGATGCATATAAACATGAACAGTTGAAGATATGAATATTTGATTGCAATGTCCTTGTCCATGAGATACAAAGTTGGAATGTTATTGATACTTTGTCCATTTCAATCTAACATGCATGTTGTATCCCTGGAGAAGCTTACGAGACTATGTCTAGACGCGTAGACATACTTCTTTTAAAACATTGCTTTAGAGTGAGTTGTTAGACTGATTGAGATGGAGAGGTCAGAAGAGGGTAATTGATAAGTGGATTTTTATTGAATTTTGTAATTCAAAGCTGTGTGTTTGTGTTGATTTTGTATGCAAAGTTTCACTGGGAGATATATGTCTATTAACAGAGGTATGTGTTATTGAATGTATCTTTAATTGTTGGCAACTATTTACATATGAATATGTGGCAATCTAATAAGATATATGTCAGTTAGGCACCTTATATCAACAAAGAAAAGAATATCTGAGCTGATTTTGAGCATAAATTGGGTGCACAGATTTGTTGATCTGAACTCAATCCTTTAAGAAGATCCAGATTGGGTGACTGAAATGTTTATGGTACTAATGGTAAGGGAAAGAACTTCTGTTAATGTACAAAATACTGAGCTTGGCTATGTGATAATGACATTTCACAACTTAAAAGTCTTAAACTGATCTATCAAAGGAAATCCTATTAAACAGACGATACAATATCTATTCGAGTTTCATGCAATGATTAATGTCTGTGGCATAGAATTGTTTTTAATATTAGAGTCTGGTTATGTTTTAAGAGTGGAAGAGGATCTATAAATTTCAAATTATTCATCCCATTAAGGATATTTCTTCTATATAGGGAGTTCTATCTTCCACTTGCTTCTTCCTTTACTCATGGTTGTTCCCTGTCACATCACTTATGTTTATGGGCAATGCCCAAAAAGAAAACAAATTTTAGCGGTGGCCTAATATTTGTGGATGGTTGAGTTACGACTTATGACAGTGGTATAGGGAAGAAAGTATAATCATTTGGACTGTATTTTGTATTAGCAACTCATATGGGTTATTTGAAAAGGACTGAAGATGAGTACACGGAGAATCAGAGATGTCTTTTCAAGCTCTAGGTTTGCATGCTATCAAGATCCTGACTTTATGTTGCACCTAAGACAACTCTACCCTTCACCCCAAGTTCCCAGCATAGCCAAGGCAGTTTAAGTTAATATTCAGGTCCCAGACAGAGCAGGTTTGACTCTGTTCTTTGTTTATACCACTCTTACTCTTTCCAAGCAATAATGTCATGTTGATGTACTAAAGTATTTCTCTCTGATGTTTGCATTTAATTAGGGTTATAGCCTAAACCGCAGAGGGAACTATATTGCTCATTTGGTGATCATTAGGTTTGCCTGTACCTGGAATAGAAACTAATGTTAAGTGACTGCTTAGAGCTGTCTTAGACAATGTTTTAAATGTCGGATGTCGGGTTCATGTCGGTCGGCCAAAATTCATGTCGGATAGCGGAAATTGGGGATATATCGGGGGACATGAAAAAAATATCGGATTGCCATATCGGATAGGTTGATATAATATCATAAATGGAATCTTCACATACTTGATAATTATATTGTCTAAACATATGAAAAAGTACATAACTTATTGATGTTAGGATCACTAACCAATTGTAGACACCTGATTTTGTTTTTCAAACTTGACCCAAGAAGCTTAAAACCGCTTTTTCTGAAATTTGGCCGATATTTCTTGGCCGCAATGGCGCCCGACATACCCGATATTTTCCGACATGACCTCAGAAACGCAATACGCATTGAAATGAAGGATATCGTGGCGGCTAGGGTATAAAACCTCCAATGGCGGCCGATATTTAAAACACTGGTCTTAGATAGTACGAAATGTTGCGAAATTGTGGGACTAAATGATGTCGAAGTAGAGGGAACTGACATATTTCTGTGCAAGTAGCAGAAGTTGAAGTCCTTAGAAAGGGAGTGGTTACTTATTGCCTGAGGCTTGTCGCTTCTTTCTCTTCTTGAAATCTGGAACGAGCCTCACATTAATGGAGGATTTGGAGCAGTTTGTTTTCACTTTCATAACATGTAAATTCTTAAGGATAACTGTTGTCACTTAGTAGGAGTGATGTAATGACTATATCAATAGCAGACCTTGTGAAGGATTTTAAAACAAGTCACCATCCTTCTAGGCTTTGAATGTTCAAGGCTGTCACATGTTCGGCAGTGGATCTAATCTTTTAACAATAAAAAAAGGATGTTTTCTGGTGCTAGTAAGTCATTACTCATAAAGGATGTCTTGAAGGCAATTATCTTTGAGGAACTTAGTTAAGTTAAAACAAGAGATGCATAAGTATTATAGTAAAGCCTACCTAATGTTTATCGTGGTTGATCGCCATCAAAGAAAGCATATAGCAAAGATGTGATGCATCATAGGAAGGGAGAAGAATAAAGATGGAGAGGAAAAAGATACAAGAAGAGAAACTATGGAGGTACTTTCTGTAGAATTCCATGTCAGTTTGCATGGTAACCTGCTTGAGTAGACACCTCACTCGCGCTATTTGATTTAGTCATAATAAATTTAACTGAAGAAAGTAAATAAATAAATAAATAAATAATGAAATAAAATTCAAAATCATAATAATGCTTAATCCGATTAGTTAACTATCTAATGAGTTCAAGGATACTTTTGTTGGCTTATTTTTCAATACAACTTTGACTCCTAAGGAGTTGCCAACTTGCCACCTCACTCAACTCCCTTCAACCCATCCTAGTTTCCTGTCGTGCGTACACACTCTGGCATGATGATACCAAGCAAGCATGGTCCTAATGCCGGTCACATGTCTGCGTAGGCAGTTGTTTCAGCTTGCTAGTATGAAAATGATCTGGGCTGAGTAATCAAGCATATACACGCAACGGTGGAGGAGAAGTTCAACAAGACCCTCCTATACTAAGTTTGCTGTAATTAAATTGATATCTCTTCTTCTTTGGGTAAACATGCATAGATCTTTAAGACATGATATAAGCCAAAGAACAACAATAGTTCACTCTACTCTAAATTTTACTGGAAAATATTAAAATTTCAATGAAGGCAACTATAAGATTCTTTCTTAGAAGAAAAAAGAGAAGAAAAGAACACATGAAAGTATGATCATGATTTCATGTTTTAACTTGAATTTGCTTCTAACTTGAGCATCGACCTTGTGCAGGATGGAGCTGGACGTGTTGGCAAAATGCTTTTTGCACGTCAAGGAAAAAAATTTGACTATGATTTAAAACAGGTGAAAGCAGTAGGTTTATCTTTTTTTAAAGCTTTTTCTGCAGGATCTTGTGCTTACAAATCTTATTGTTGACTAAAACATTGAAAATGAACCCAGCTGCGATTTACTGGCGATCTTTTAATGGAATTGGGTGCTGCAGTGGAGTTAGCTACCACTACCATGCCAAACCTGTTCTTACCATTAGCATGTGCAGCCAATGTATTAAAGGTACTCTATACTTGCAGCAATTTCTGTCATTTTAAATTGAACTAAATTGAAGTTTATCTCTCTCTGTCCTTTTAAATAAATTCATGTGGTGTGATCTTATGCTTCTAATCTGTGTAGAATGTTGCTGCCGTGACATCAACGTCAACACGTACTCCAATATACAAGGCCTATGCAAGAGGGGAAAACATTGGGGATGTCACAGCCAAGGGGGAATGTGTTGGCAATATAGCAGATCTGGTATGCTCATGCTGATAGTACACAGATGCTTTAAAATATCAGCACTACAACATGTCTAGCACACGAAAATTGTCTAGGATGGCCAGGTTTTTTTTGTGTGTGTATATTTTAAAACCTAAGTAAATACTGCTTCTGACTCATTAGCTGATCTTTTACATGCTTAACCTGAACTACTTCTTCCATTAAGGTTGAAATTACATGCTATAGGGAACTATATTCTCAATATCAAGAGTGGAGGATGAGAAAGGGATTGTGATAACATATAAAAGTTTATTCTCTTTCTTGATCAAAAGGACCAGGAAAGAAATACTATTAGAGCAATGGTCAAATCAGCAACAAATAGAACTGCATGAAAGGTATTCTTTAAAAACAGGGAAAAGTTTGATTTTATTTTTTGGTAATTTATTTCACTGGGTGGCAGACAAATAGTGCCACCTAAGTTTCATAGAAATGGGTACGAATATGGGTATGGGTACGGGTGCGTGTACAATATACAAAAAATTTGTAAAATTTTGGGTACGGGGACATTATTACATATAAAGGGTGAAATTAATAATTTGTATGAAATGATTATTGTTTTTCAGTTCATGTGTTATTAGAATCAAAATTCCTATCACATTTTTAAGTTTCTTTTATTATGTCAGTAATTATAAATTGGAAACTACTCGTTATTGGATTAGAAACTCAAACGACTCTTTTAAATCATAGTTTTGAACTTGGATATGGGCTGAAACAAACATGACCCATGTCTAACGAGTTTCAAGAAATGAATATGAATGTAGAATATACATCCAATAAGTGTATGACAAGTGTTATAACTTAGAGCATATATTATATACTTGAGTACATGTCAAAATAAATTTGTGCATTTATCCAAGGAGCATCCATGAATTTTCGGCACTGACATGTATCAAGTATGTGTTCGGTACAGGTACGACCTTTCATGATAGAAGTAGTGACATATAATATATTGTAGAAATGAATAGAAATACCCTTTAGCAAAGGATGCTGCTTCTGACTTCTGTATCTGAAGACCAGTTGATAAGGGGAAGCTGTTCCAGACTAGTCCCAAACTATCATAAGACTTCGCTATTCACATGTGACTTCTTTTGGAAGATCATCGTCTATTGGACTAACAGCAGCTGATCTATCTGATCTGTTCTTCAGGATGTCAAGTTTTAAAATATCAGCTGAAACTCATAATTGGTGATTTCCAATATGATTTTTTTAGGGTTTTCATGTGAACTCCAGGTTCTGCTCAAAATTTGGAAGGGTATTCCCATCCATAATGTTTTAGTCGGGTATAACAATGAAGGTTTTCATTTCAAATAAACAAGAAAATGATGTATGACATGTTGCCTTGTCAGACACTATTTGTCAGCCAAGTTATAAAGAAACAAATATTAAAGGGGGAAAAGAGAGAAGAAGGGTGATGACGCATGGATTGATTTATCCCATCTCTCTGCCAGGTGTCTTTTGTGTAATATTACACAACTTTTATTTGTACTGCCTCTACATGTCCATCCGCCATTTTGTCCTACTCCCTTAGAGATGCTCATTAGTTATGGTTAGACTTAAGTTTAAGGGGTTAGAGGTATGGATATTATAATAAATTGTTTCAGTTTGAAGTTATATTGGTTTCAATTTTGAGTTCCATCAGTTTTGGCTGCTGATTCCAGGTCCACTCGTGTCATGTCTTAAAGCATATCGGTGGCATTAGTTTAAGAAAAAACACTTGCAATTTGTAGACTCCCTTGTGTTAGGGGTGGGAACATGTTGGTGGTTCCGGATCCTACAGGATGAACTTGAGAATCCAATGTAAGATTTGTAGGACCCAGTGACCCACTTAGTAACCTGAGTACATTGGGAAATATAGCATGCATTTGAGGACACCAACAATGTTCTATCAGATGGTCCAATTTCCAATTTCTTTCCAATAATTCTATTAGGAGTTGAAACTTGAGAGTATAAAGTTAATAAGTCCTTTCTCATATATGTTATTTTATTTTTCTATTACAAATATTAGTCAATATGACCAAGTTAACTCATGCATTAGGCATTTAAGAAGAAACGAGATGATTACGTAGTTCTATGTGAAGGTTTATTGAATGTCATTTTGTTGTATTGGTATTCTTAAGAATTTACATCTAGATCTGGGGTTAGGCCATTGGATCGATGTCTTGGGTCCTTCTATGAGTAAGCTATCTGATATGATTTTAGGATCCAATTTCAGCTTGAATTGGGATCATGTAATCATGCCCCGTTGTCCCTTGTACCTTGTATAATTAAAGTTTACAACTGTAAACATAAGGAATGGTTTTTGTTCTCAAGTTTCAGTTTGCATCTAGATAAAATTATTACAAGTGTAAATGGTACCTTATATTGCAATTATCTCCTTTTTTCTATTATTAGATTATAAAACTATAACCTTCACCTCCCCACAACTTTCGAGTTTTGTGTACTGGAAGGATCCTTTAACATGGTATTAGAGCAACCTAGGATCAATTCCCATCTACCACGAATTTAAAGCGAATTTAGAAAAGGATATCGCTATGTGACTCTAGATTTCACGTAGAAAATGGCGTTGAACCTGTAGGGACATGTTAGAGTATAAAGTTATTTAACTCTTAACTCTCACCACAACTTTGGAGTTTTGTGTAGCGGAAGAGTCCTTTAAACATGTATAGTCACTTTAGAAATAATTTCTTGATAAGTATAGGCCTTTCTATAGTTTACTTTTTGCATCATCGTCTTAATTCAGAATGAATATATTACACTTTTAATGTTATGAAAGCTGAAAATCTGTTTCTTTTCTTTTCTTTTCTTTTTTCCCTTTATTTGAATCACCAAATTTGGCAAGATCCAAACTCATTGCAGAGAGCCCACAGTTATCTTCTCCTTATAAGTTTATAAACTTGTCCTTCAACTTTCGATGATTCTTTTGCCTTTATTCTTTAGTTTGTATTTGCCGAATAAAGCACTCTTTGTTTCATTTATTGTGGCAATTCATCCTGTGCTTTTATGTATAGCTGGGGACTGGACTTAGTATCTTAATGTCAAAGAGGAACCCATCTTTGGTGTCTTCTTTTGCCATCCTTTCATGTGGATATGTTTTCAGTTCATACCAGGAGGTTTGCTTCTTACATATATTGTATATTGGCTTATGTTCGAACTGTTTGACATAAACCTGATTACTTTATTCATTTATGGTCCTAGGTTAAATCTGTTGTATTGCATACTCTAAACCGAGCAAGATTCACTGTAGCTGTGGAGTCCTTTCTGAAGACTGGTAGGTTCCACACTTCCTAATTTTCTATAATTGTCAAATCAACGTTAATATTTCTAATGGAAAAAAGAAAACCTATATACTGAAGTGTTCTTCAACAGACAATGATGCACGAGGTGGTCCTAATGAGATTGTAGTTTGAAGATTTACAATCTGGCACACAATTTATCTGGGATAACTAACACTTGATGTGATTATGATCTTTTATTTTCAACATATTGCACAAATATATCTTCATATGTTTAGGTAATGTAGTTGAATCCATCCCACAATTTCGGTGCTTTCTATTAAACTGGCAGATCCATGTTTATCAGAATGAAGACAAAAATTCTAATTTAATATATAAACGTTTACAGATCATGCCGTATTTCTCAAATGCTCATATCAGTATAATTTTATAGTCTCTTTTCCTCTAGAAATGCTTGTGATTTTGAACCAACTTCTAGTTTTTGATGTATTCTTATACTACTGATTGCCCCATGATATTTTGTAGGAAATGTTCCCTCATTGAAGGAAGGGAATTCTAAAGAGAGCATATTCAGTCCTCCATGGTCCAAACGACCGGTTATTTTAGGTGTGTAAATTTCATCTCCTTTCCTCTCTTTTTTTCTGTGCCACTGAATGACTTCTGAGTTGGATTAGATAAATTTATGTGATGCTGGGCGCTCTTATCTAACATATGTTTTTTTACCTTCCTATAGGCTCGAAGTTTGGGGATGCATTTCAAGAACCTGCTTCATTTCTTGCCATAGAGCCCTTGTTTGAGGTATAAAAATGGCACTGATGCCTTTTTGTTCCCACAATTTAGATGTAGCAGTGCACTTTCCTTAAACTTTTTTATTTCGTAATTCATCATCAGATTCTTACAGATCTAAAACCTATGTCCTTGAATGTGTTGTTTCATTCGTATGCTATGGCTATATTCTTTTTACTCTTTTACTTTCAGTTTTTGGTGAAACATGAACCACATTGTTATATATCAGCTAAAATAGATTTTCTTTACTTTCAGAATGAAAGATACATAGTTACGTATAATCCTTCAAAGGGAAATGTCTATGCGTTGCTTAAAAATCAAGCAAAGTCGGATGATGTTCTAAAAGCAGCTTTTCATGTGAGTATGGATTTCTCTTCTGAAATCAGAAATTCTCATTTGTGTAATAACATGTGTCTGGTATCTCAGGCTCATGTCCTTTTGCATTTCATTCGGTCGACGAATGCAAATCGGTCTTTAAAGAAGAATGATAGTTTTGAATCAAGGAATATGTTTGATTCCTCATTAGACCAGGGCATGCCTTCAAATGCTGATTTTCTGGATCATATATCAAAGTCTTGCAATGTTGTTTCGTCTTCTTATGAGGTTTTCAAGAAGAAAGCAGCGGACGAGGTAACTTTTTGTGCTGTCTTTCCCTTTTATGAATATACTTTGCAATATATTTTGCTTGTTTGTATTTATGTCTATCATCTATACATGTTTAGTAGATACTAGATTGGATGCACGTGCATTGCACGTGGTTAAATTTTACTATTTTCTTACTTAACTCGGTTGTGAAGTATTTCTTTTAATTTCACGTGAAAAAGTAAAATAATCTATTGTCTATACACTATATAGTTAATCAAAAGTATTAAAAGTACCATAACAAAAGTCAAAATTTCACGGTCAATTCACATTAAGTACAATTTACGATAAATAGTACATGAAGGTCAAAGATCCTTTTATGAAAAAAATATTTTTTATGCAAATAATTTTATTTTCATCGTAATCCTATGTTTTCATCTTATAATTTGCACGAATTCACAGTCTTTTATACCCTTTACAATTTTGATAACTAATTTCCACTTTAATGTTATATCCCATGAGGCTAATAGACTCCTAAAGAAATATCATATATCAATAACCATGGATCTTAATTATGAGAATTTTTCCAAGGTAATATTATTATATTCTATATGTTTATGTTCTGAATTGTCAAAGCAAGCTATAAAATGACAAATTAATATATTTTATGCTAGTATATATGTTTTTTAATTGGTAGAGTAACTTGTTATTTTTTGAGACATAAAATTGCTTTATAGTTAACTTTGACTATTTCACGTAATTGGAGATTTGCTCGTCTTTAAATTATGTTAATTTTTTTTAATGAGTATGATATTCCTATTTATTTGAAGATCCTTTTCCATTTCATTCAATTACTCTTGCAATTCAAAACTTTTTTAGCTCAACTGCCTCAGTTACACCTTCTATCAGGACTCATCTCTATTTCTTAGTATCTAATGGCTAGTATTACTCCGATTTATTCTAATTCAAGTCTGTCAAAATGGTTGTAAGTGGTGAAGACCCTAAATCTTTTGAAATGATATATATTGAATATCTCATAATAAAATATCAAAAAACTTAAACAACACATATTTAAGTAGTTTTCTCACATAACTATTTTTAATTAACATACCTATTCTCAAAGGCTTGCACTTAATGAAGACCTTAAATATTTTAAAATGATATATATTGAACATCTCATGGTCAAAACATGAGAAGAACTTAAATGTGGCTAAAACTAATTTATACCACTTTTCGCGCATGTCTATAAAGTATAATATTAGAAATATAAAATATTTAAAATGAAATGCATTAAATTAGAATTTAGTTTTAAATTAAGAGCCCTTATTTGAATAATTTTATATACATAACTCCTTTTACTTAACATACATATTGAACATTTCAAAAGCCTAAATATCTAAGTTTTCACTTTTTAAGTTATCTTTTTTAGTCATAAAAAATAAAAAAATCCTTTTCCACTGAGTTGGTCGCTTATGGTAAAATGTTGCATTTTTTCTATTTGATATAGTAAATTATTAAGAAAACGATATATTTCATGTTTAGTGCAGAGAACTATGTGAATAAAAGTAAAATATTTTAAAGGCTAAATATCAACAAAAAAAACCATGTTAACTTTGGATGATAATCAGATAATCCTTTATAACTTTAAAAATATCATATAATCCACTAGGGGCTATCAGGAAACCCCCTTTTAACTTTGAGATTTTATTAGAAAACCACTCTAAAAGCGATAATTTTAGGGGCCACCAATCCACCACAACTCAATAAGTGGATAAATTCATACTTAAAACACTGGTTTTACAAAAATTCAAATATTTCGACAAATGATAAGCAAATATAAGAATGATAGAGAATCATTAATGAATTCTAGTACATGATGTGAATATTTAAGAAAACTAAAAAAACATGAAATGGAAATAAGAGGCTACGTCTCAATGCGGTCAACACTTCATACTCCGGTTGACTCGGTAAACCCCATAATTATTAAGCTCGTGGTTCCGGGACGGTGAGACCTAAATTTCGGCTCTTAGCGTTAAAACAAAACCTCATAGAGGCATATTGAGCCCTGATTTAATAACTTGCTTATATCCGTCATATACCGATATATTTACCTGAGATGTATATGTGGTTTATTGATTTTGTTATTGGTTGGCCTTTGGTATTTTTGTATAACGTGTTTAGTTTTATGAACTTTGTTTGATAAAATCTCAAAGTTGAGGGTGTTTTCTAATAAGATCTAAAAGTTAAAGGGGGTTTCTTATAATCACTACTTATGGGATTTTATAATATTATATCTAAAAAATAATGGATTAATTTTAGAAAAATCCACTCAACTATTTTAATATGTGAAAATCTCCTCAAGTTTAAGCATATTGTAGATAACCCCCAACTTTGAGATAATCACTTGAACTTTCTTCACTTAAACCCCCTCAAATATAGAGATTCTCTACGAAAACCACCTAAACTATTTTTAATTTGAGAAACCCCCTTAGATTTGAGCTTAATATAGATAATCCCCCTCAAGCTTTAAAATTTAAGAAATCACCATAAACTCTTTTCACTCTACGCCCTAAAAGCTAACGTTGTTACCCTAATAACCCTATAAGTTTACATTTTTTTACTTAACCTAAAATGTTTTTTGTCAAAAAAACCCCTAACATCGGATGTTTACAATTTTAAGATTTTTTTCAGAGGTTTTTCATAACTATTGGAATTTTCAAGAGGTTGATTATAATTTTTAAAATTTTAGGAGATTTGCTTCTAATTATTTTGTTTGTACTTTTTATACTTTGGGTTTTTTAAAGTAATTTTCTTGATGGTTCTTTGCAATTTTCTAATTTAAAGGGTTTGGTTATGATTTTTTAGATTTTTAGGGGACTGCTTACAATTTAAATTTTTTTAGGACACTATTTGTCATATTTAGTTTTTATTGGATTTTTTGTTATTTTCATATTTTCACGTTTTTTCGAAAATTTGAATTTTTAGGGCTTTGTTTTTTAATTTTCAAAATTTAAAGGAGGTTGTTTGTACTTTTTAGATTTTGCATATGTTGTTTATAACTTATGAATATTTTGTGAATCATTTATAATTTTAGAGTGATAAGAGTCTTTTTCACCTTTTAAGATTTTCTAAGGTTTTTTTTTACAATTTCATGAAACCCTCAAAATTAACATAAAGGTAAATCTCACTAAACCCCTAAGAATTTTACTATTTGTAGCAAAATTAAAATATCTTTAAAACTCTCACTAAGCGCCCAATAATTTTTGGCAGAAAATCTTAAAAATCAACATCATTAATTTATGTGTAGTCAAAATGACCAAAGTACACCCTAATAACCCAATAAGTTTTACGTTTTTTTCACTTAAGCCCCAGCAATTTTTAGCAAAACACCCAAGATAGAAATCATTTATAAGTTTTACATCTTTTCAGAGGTTTGTTTGTATTTATTAGAATTTTCAAGAGGTTGATTGTAAGTTTTAGATTTTAGAGGAGTTTGTGTCTAATATTTGATTTTTCTGAGGATTGTTTATACTTTTTTAGTTTTTTGTAATCTTTTCAGGATTTCTTTGTAGTTTTCTAACTTAAAGGGTCAATTTAATATTTTAAAGATGGTTAGGGGGCTGTTTGCAATTTAAAATTTTTAGGATGCCATTTGTAATATTTTACTTTTTATGGGATTTTTATTGGTAATTTTCATGTTTTTCATATGTTTTCTTGAGTTTTTGAATTTTTGAGGGGTGTTTATAATTTTTAAAATTTAAGGGGGTTTGTTTGCACTTTTTCGATTTTTAAGTTCTGTGTAATTTATGATTTTTTGTGCCATTCATAATTTTAGAACTTTATGAGTATTTTTTTCAATTTTAAGATTTTCATGGATTTTTTACAATTTCAATTTTTTAGGGGCTGTAGGGTCGAAAAATTTAAGAATTGATTGATTCTCTTGTTTTAAGAAATGGGTTCGATCACTTGGTACGAAACCCTTACAATCACTCACACTCTCTCTCGATTACAGGGGAAGAGAAGATTAATTCAGCTTCTTTTTTGTTTAAGGTGGGTTCTAGGTGGCGAAAAGATGCTTCCCCCGATGCTTGAGTCGAGCTTGCCTCCCGTTAACGATCAGACCAAGATCACAAGCGCTTCTGACCTTCGTTAGTCGGCTGGAATCGAAGTTCGTACTCCGAATCGGCGTACATAAACTCTCGTCTCTGATGCTTCGTGAAGTCCAAGCTTGAAAATCTCCAATTAATTAACAATCCACCAACCCTCTTCATAGCTGCTTGCGGCTATTTATAGAGCTTTAGCACGTAATTGACGTGCTATAATCGCGGGATCGTGGGTGTAACCGACTCCTGAGATTTAGCCTATGTTGACTAATGGAGGGTAACATACTCCTTAGATTCAGCCCACGTGGGCTGACTTGGTCCTCGTGGTCGTTACAGCCTGATTTAATATGGGTGACGAACTTCGCTGCGTTGACGAACCTCGTCCTTGATGTCGAGCCTCACTGCATGGCGAGCTTCGTCTTTGATGTCGAGCCTCGCTGCGTGGCGAGCCTTGTGAGCTTCTTTAATAATGAGCTTCGTCTTCACTGACGAGCTTTAAATCTGATGACAAGCTTTGTTTTCATTGACGAACTTCACCTCCGATGATGAACTCCGAACCTCGTATCCAATGACGAGCTTCGAACCTCGTATCCAATGACGAGCTTCGAACCTCGTTTCCAATGACGAGCTTCGTCTTTGATGTCAAATCTCATTTCCAATGATGAGATTCGAACTCGTTTCCAATGACGAGCTTCACATCTTGTTTCCAGCGACAAACTTTGTTGTTTGAGACGATGTTCATTATTGTAATAACCCTCGTCATGCTCGTTATGAGCTTCAACGTTCTAACGCCAAATGATTAGCCAATGATCTATGAAGATCCATGAGAGTGGAGGAGAGATAGGTTTTGTTCATTAGCCTCTCAATTTCCTCCCCTCTTTTCATGTTGATCATGCCTATTTATAAGCTTAGGGTCATTATGGAGTGAGTTAATGGGTTTTAACT